GGCTGCTGCAGTGCCTCTGAAGCACGTAGGTTGGATGCTCGAGGTCAGGACTTGGGCACGGTGGGAGTCTTCCCCCCCCGTGCCCTGTGAAAACAAACCTGCGGAGCTTTTCATTGCACAGAAGCGATCCTGCTTCGTTCCACCTCCAGCGAATCACACCTGCAAGGTGTGACGTCCTTTGGGAAGCGACGGCGACGGTAAGCATAGCTGCGTGCTGCGAGGATCCTTTCCAAAGACACGTGAGCATGGCTGAACGGTGGGAACCCACCCAACTTACTGTGTCTGCAGCTGCATCCATGAAAAATTCTTTAAAAAACCGGGGTGTTGGCATTTAGACGCCTGGCTGAGCCAGAGCAAATAATCTAGAGTGATTTTCTAGATGTGTGTATTAGTAAAGTGTTGCACCGTTACAAAGCTGGTGAACGAGAAGCAGCTAGGATCTGGTGCCCTCTTTTTGGCAGCCGTTTGTTGGTAGTCAGTGTGATGTGCCTAATCCACGTACTGTTCAGTAATGCCTGTGCTACGTTTTCATGAAGTAGTGTTGGGTTTCTGCTTTTCTGCAGGCGGGCGGACTGAGCCATCGTCAGTGGGTTGATACTGAGGAATTGTGTGGTGGTGGTAAAGCTGGGTCTGGTGCTGAGACCACGTAGCTAAAGGTGTCCTGTAAACAAGTGGATTTTCCAGGTTTGCACTTTGCTGTCCTTCCATAAGCGCTTGGGCTTTTTCAGGCACCTTTTTGCATATCTAGTTTGTGTTTTCCTGGCTGAAAGACATTTGAAGGCAGCAGGGGGGGTATAAGACCCCTGACATGATGCTCTCTTACATATCAGCTGTCTGGTTCGTGGTGTGAACCTCCCAGATATGTTGTAGATCATCTGTTTAATACCTAATTAAAGTTTCTGGGAGTGAAGGAGCGGCGGGGCAATCTGAGCACACTTGCCCCAGCAATATCTCGTACCACGTGCATGTTCAGCTCGGGTGAAGTCAAGCTCGAGCAGAAAACACCTGACGAGCTGCTCCCCTTCTCTCTCTGCACGGTGAACGCGTGCCTTTGCAGCGTGGCGGAGATGCTGCTAGAGGCATGGAGTCCAATCCCGCGGGATTTGTTCGGTGAGGCTCCCGCTGCCTTCAACAGAAGCTGTGCCTCTGGGGAGCCAAAAAATCGGCGTCAGATCAATAGATGCCGTCTTCAGAGGCTTTGGAGAGCTTCCCCCACGCTGCTGCCAAGTGGATAGGGTTCAGAGGGTGTGCTAGTTCATCGTGCTGGCTGAAGGCACTTTCAGTTTATGAAAAATATGTAGCTTTCTTCCTACCTTGTTTTTAATATAAACTGCTACTCTTGAAATGCAGTTGGATGGTTGAGCATTGGGCTTTCTCCAGTTGCGGTAGGCTGGGAGCTGTAGGGAATTTTTATAACAGAGCACGCACCGATACAAAAGTCAAAGTAGCTTTGAATTGCGTGCAAAGCAAGGGAAGGCTCAGGCAAATCTTAAATAAATGGGAAATCGGGGTTGTTGAAAAGAAGAAATATGTAGTATCATCACTGTGATTGCTGTTCATTTCAGGTTTGTCTTCTGTAATGCTTTAATTGGTTTCTCTTGTTTAGTGTTGCCATTTTGTAGCTGACGGGGGGGAACAGAGCTGTGAAAATGGCTAAAAGTGGAGATAAAGGCCAAGGTGCATGCTCTCAGACCTCGGACGTGCCAGAGGAGAAGTGCAAATACCATCTGAGTCAAGATGCGGTGGTGGGATCTCTAAAAAGCAAGTTGTGTCATCATACAGCAACTTGTCTGGACAGAGCTCAAGGAGGTCTTGAGTTGTGGATAGCACTTAAAGCATGAACCCCATTGGATTGCTCTGCATTACTTGGGAATCTGGTATTTTCAGGGCCTTTCTTGCAGGAAAGATGCTTTCTTCCTTGTAAATGGGATGTACTAAGAAAAGGGGCAGGTTTCTGGCTGCGCTGAGACTGGGTGTTGCAGAATTGGTGCTGATTTTGCCAGATCATATGGCGCTTCATCCAAAAATTGATCAGAAGTCAAATGCAGTGCTAAGCAGCGCTTCTGCAAACGTCTTGGGGTAATGCAAGCTGTTCAGCTCTGATATGCTTCACGTAGCCCTCGTCTGCCCCAAACAGAGCCAGTGGTACCCTTTTTTTGTGTATGAAGCTTCCCGGAGCCAGGTTTCTTTATAGTCTGTGGCAGAGACATTCTGCTGCCGTGCTAATTAACAGAAATGCCACCGCTGGTGGCAAAACCTAAAGCCCAACGCTAGCCTTGGTACTAAAACCCGTTTAGAAAACTGCGATAAGGTGTCAGGGAAAGCAGATTGGGCTGTCTTTTCATTTCTTTCCTCCAAGAATAACACCAGATGCTTCAGATCGGCCCTGGAGGTGGGATGGAGAGGAGGGAAGGTCATGCCTCTCCGGAGCCCCTCGTGTTTAATATGGTTTTTCTGTTTCCCTGCTATCTGGATATCCACCTGTGAAAGGTTAATCCCATTCCCCTCCGTTCCAGGCTGCGGAGGGCCTGTTCTGTAGCAATTAGAACAACTGAGCCCCATATTGGCTAGCTATGGTGCCGAAATACTATTTTTCATTTAATAAAAGAAGGCAGAGTTGAGTGGAATTTGTCTCCTCTAGCTGTAATGTTTTTGGTGCCCATTTGGTTGCATGGGCAGGAGAAGGCAGGCTGTTCCTTAGGAAGTAGGGCAGGGTGCTGGCTTAAAATAGCAATGAACGCTGGGCTGCTTGTGATGAAGGGAGCTATTTAGGTAAATCCTGGGGTCTCGGTGGGGGCAGAGCCACCTGCTAATCTAAAGATACTCCTTGGAGACCTATATTTGTCCGGGATCCTTCCCAGCTTGGCTGGTTTTCCAGGTGTTCCCTGTTCGATCCCTTGCGCTCCTCTGCCGATTGTGTTGGGATGGCGGGTGCATTTACTAGATGCACAGTGCGTTAATGTCTTGGATGGTAATGGAATTAGACATCATTAAGCAGCGGGAGCAAGGAAACAGGCTACGTAAAGGCATCAGCATTATCCTATAATGCAAGACTTGGCTCTGAATGGCTCTTGGAGGCCAGCCTGCCGGGCTTGTGGTGCTGAAGAGGCATATGCCGATGACACTTGAGAGCCAGGTCAGGTGTACTGCGAAAACCCGTCAGGGCAGGGAGCTTTGGTGTAGGGGCAGAGGGAAGGATGGGGAGCAGCGCTGCACCCACAGCATCTCTGCTTAGGGTGGCGTGGACCAGAGGTGAGGCGGAGGATGAAGGGTGGGTGCTCCAGCATGCTCAAAAGCGGTAGGAAAAAGAAACCTGAGTGCGGCTTGTAAAGATTTCGCTGGCAGGGAGAGGAGCGTTTGGGCTATCTGGGCTGCACTCTTGACTTCAGACCTCCAGCCTCCGAAGCAAAACCTCGCTGCTGTCTCAAGCTGCAGCATCTCCAGCTATGAAGCCTTAATAGGATCTCGCTGCGTTTCCATTAGGAGCTGAGGTGGATGCGAGCATGTTGAGTAATGCGACCTCCTCCAGCTGGGAGCCTGTGTACGCCGCCGGGAGAGGGCTTGTGGGGTTTATCTCTCCAGAAGTCTACATCAATCTCCTGGCTTCTGAGTGCTTCTCCACTTTAGTGAATACCTCCGCAATGGTGGTGGCTGTAAAATGTGAGTTTAAAGCACTTTCCCTGCTCTGAGCCAGATCTGGTGAAAGTGTGCAAGGATCTCCCCCGTGTAAGACAGGTGGTTCGGGGTAAATTTCAGGAAAACAGGGAGAAGTTGTGTCAACAGTGATCCCAGTAAGAGTCTTTGTTTCCCTAGCCTGCTCTAGAAAATATTCCCTTTTATCAGTTGCTGAGGTGTAGCGAACATGGTAAAATGGCTTCTCAAACAGCAGTGAGAACATTATCCCGAAAGTGATGTCTCAGATACATATTGCAAAGGTTCCATGGAGGAAGACCCTGAACAGCAGCGCAGAGGACTGGTTTTGCTGTTTCGGCCGTAACTGGGGTGTCCTGTCATCGAGCTCCGTCCCTGGCACATGAAGGTCTGTGAAGCTGCTCTGAAAGCATTGCTAAATCTTATTTAGCCCATTTACTGGGCTACTTACTCTTTGGTTTGCAAGAAACCTGCTCTGGCTGATCTCCAGTGTGGCCGCTGGGAAGATTTTAATTAGTTTGCAGCTCCCTTCAGACCGTCCGCACCTCTGTGTGGTTATAAGGTGATATGTGGGTATAAATGTCAAACAGGGAGTAAGCGTGTTGCAAGAAACGTTTTAACTAGAGCTATTTTGATCCAGTGCGAATGCAGCTCGGGTTGAAGCATTAAGGCGTGAGATGGGAAGAGAAGAGAAGCTGAGACCCCTATTGCGCGTGAATTGGTCTGTTTTTGCTGCAGCGGTGATTGCAAGTGCTGAAATTCTCATTTATCGATGATGTGACCGCCTTTTGCTGGACGCGATACAACAGTCACTTCTCCAAGGGCCTGCAGGCTGGGCTCTGCCTGCTTCCACCACGGCGCCTGGGCTCCAGCCTGAGTGTTTCTGGGTGCTGTTTTGTTCAGGTTTCCCATGTAGAGCAGCCGATTCCTGCCTACAACGTCGTCCTGAGCGAGGTCTCGAAAGTACGCAATGTGCAAAATTGTGTCTGCTTAAAGTAGCTTTAAAAACCAGAGCCAGCACCCCGTCCCCTGCCGCTGCCGGCGGTGGGCTCAGATTTACATTCACCAGCAGGTGGGGGATTTGCCTTTGACACAAAGACCCCGCTGTTCTTGTATTAATGATCTATTAGTGGACACGCTGGCAGCTTGCTAACCTTGTGAAACAGGTGGTGAATTTCCCTGCCTGCTGACATCTAGGAATCCCCTCCCGTCTCCTTTGGTGAGCTCACTTTTTTTTAAGTAGCTGCAGCTGTTTGCTGTAGACCTCGGCCTTTTTCTGTTCCTCTTTTTCTTTTTCGCTCAAGCTCCGCAGCGACCCCCTCGAGTCAGCTGAGAGACCATCCCCACCGATGGACCCGTTGAGAGGAAGACGCCAGGTTTGCTGTGGGTCGGTGTGCTGTCGAGTGGTTATTTCGTACGAATACATAGATTTTTAACTGCTGAGAAGTCTACAGAGCTTGAGGGTCTCAAAAGAGATTTTTTTTCCAGGCTGGTATCGAGGGCTTCTGTGCTCTCCTTGGCAGTAGCTGGTGAGTTGGCACTCGGTGATGTAAGGAGCCTGCGTCCCCGGCAGAGGACTTGGCTCCGGACAGATTGTCTCAATGACAATCCCAGGCAAATCCGCATCACTGCTGGTCATTAAGAGAGGGACCTACGCGTAGCAATGCGGGCGCTGGAAACTTGACGGACCTTGCAAGCAAGTACAATTTTAACATGCTGCATTGCTCCCACGGAGACTGAGGAAATTCAGTGCCCAGCGAGTGCGTTTTTGAGACGGTCTCTGAGCCGCAGGGCGCTTTGGCAAGAGCAAGACTAACGCTGCAGCGTGGATCTGGGTCTCGGCTGCGGCCGAGGTTCAGCTTTGGTTTTGGTGGCTGGGCAGGAACCCTGGCGTGAAGAGCTGATTCCATGGGGAAAGGTTTGCGGATGGCTCTCCTGGCTGAGAGCTGGGCGGCTGATGTGCGGTGACAGTCTTAAATCGCCTCTGTTCTAATTAAATACTCCCAGTTTTAATCTCACCCGGCTCCTTGAGCGCGGAGAGGGAGCAGAGAGCCAGCTCCACCCCGCGGGTCAGCGGCCCGGCAAGGGGCCACCGTAGCTGCCTCTGGGCTTGCCTACCATGGCAAACCTTGGCACGCAACTCTGTCGGTGAACCCTCCTTGAGCAGCCGCGGTTTACTTTGGCAAAGGCACCCCCTTTTTTTCCCTTAGTCTGATAACACTGTTTACTGTCCGTGCTAGATGTTTTGCCAGCAGAACAGTTTAAGGATAATTATCTTCTGTCCCCATTAAAGTTTTTCGAAGTCCATGAGCACAGTTCAGGTAACTATAAGGTTTTGGAGGCTGTATGGCATCCGAAATGTACGGGTGGACTCTGATTTAGGTAGCGTTTATGATTTTCTAGCCTCTTGGCGTTGCGCTTAGTATTTCCGCAGGTCTGTGGGAGCTTTAAGCGTGGCCTGGGTTATGCTCGTTTGGCACACATTATGTTTGTATTTGCATTTTTTTGATGCACAGGAGTGTCGCTTGCTTTTTTTGGAATTAAATGCACCTGGCTTCTGCATAGACTGCATGTGCCAGATTCTAGTAACTGAGAGTCAACGTGGCCTCAAAATTTGGGTGTTACTCCTTGAATGACTGAAAGGCAGTTGATAAGGTAAAGACGGATTTGCTGATGGGAACGGTTCAGTTGATTAGTCTTTCTCAGTTTCGCTCGACTGCAGTATCGTGATGACTGTGTCTCTCCCCCTTCAAAGAAATCATTCAGCTTGGTAGAATTCGATGTACAATACAGATATTTTTAGGGTTATTGTGAGGAGATATTCCGGTTGTCCTACAAAAAGGAATCTGGCTCAAGGTAAGGAGCAGAGTGAGCTGTCTGAACCAGTTGCGCACTGGGAGGCTGGCTTGATCTCCAGCAGCACAGCTCTTGACTAGTTTCGGATAGAACTGCGGTGTTATGAACTGCATTTAATGCTCCTCTATGTTGAAGGAGCTGCCGTTCAGTAGGAATTTACACTTGCAAAATGGATGGGGAAGATAGCCCAAGTGTTGCGCGCCAGATACTCTCTCTTAACGGGGACGGGGCGTGCAATGGTTGTGGTTGATGCGCAGCGCAGGGCTGGGTCCTCCTGCAGCTCTGCCAGGGGTGAGGAAAAAACCCTCTCTTTTTTTGCTCCATTTTGTGAGTGCTTGGAGCCTCTGAAACCCAGGGTCTCTTATGCATAATGAAAAAGGAAAATTGCTACCCTTGGAAGAGTAGAAAGAACATGCAAAAGTTTGGAGGAGGGCGGACAGAAATGGCAATAGTAATCGTTCCTGGCTCTTGCTGCATTTATGCAAGGAAGGTGTTTGCTTTACTTGGTGACTCTTCTGAGATATTAATGTTATTTATGTTAGCACAATCCAGCGGCAAGGGGAGAAGTTACTTATTTTCTCAGGTGGTAGGAGGCTGGAGGAGCAATATATTTGCTCCACTTCGTGATCTCTTTGTTTCCACATAGGTTCTGTAGCTGGAGAGCGCAGTTCTCTGACATAGCAGGGTCAGGGTGCCTGTGCCAGCGCTGCTTCAGACTGAAAAATGACACAGATTATTTGTCAGGGCTTGGTCCAGGCTTTGAAAAATTGGTATCAAGCATACATCTGTTTTTGCAGACTCTCATGTAAACTTGCCCTGAGGCACCCCAAGGGAGAGAAAATTTCATGCAAACCAGTGTGGGGATTCTTAAAGCAAAGACATCTCGGCATTTTATGACCAGAAATTTGTACGGCTCATAAATTCGAGAAAATAAAGATTATTCCACGGAATATTGGGTAGTTGCTACTAAGTATTAGAACTAACAGCAGGTTTGGATTTGACTCTGGCTGCTGAGGTTTGTCCCATCCTTGCTTTTGGTCTGGATCCCCTCACAGAGAAGCACTGAAGCAGGTTGGCTAGAGCATTGCTGTAGGTAATGATGGCATCCATCACTCGCCTTCAAGGGTTTCTTCCCTGTTAATGACAGTGAAAGCTCTGCACGATCCTGAAACTTAAGCTTCCTGCAAGCACAAAATGGCATTGCCTTTCCTTGCTGAACTTCTCCAGGTTATTGCCTCTCAACTGGCTCCGTCTGAGCCCTGGATTCAACTTTGAATAGCCGAATGTAGGTTAGGTGTGAATGCGAATAGGAATGCCTGATAAAAATAACATTAGGCTATTTGGAAATTGGGGGGGAAAAAAAGCCCTGACCTCATGCTATGCACAGCTCGGCACAGGAGGCAGCTTTCTCTCCGCCTTTCAAAGGGCGTACGGACGGCTCTCGTGCAGACTTTTCCCTGTGAACATTTCTACCTTTGACAGCCGGGTCCGGCTTCCTCGGCGGCCAGATCTCCGTTGTGGCAGATGGACGTCTGTCATCCCCAGTCGTCAAACCCTGAGCTGAACGTCCGTCAAATACTTCAGATGCCTTCCAGCACAGGTGGAGAGGATGCAGTAATTGGAAGCTGTTAGTACCTTACGTCATGTGTCTCAGCATAAGAAAAGAGAGCTTTTACTTGTGCTTAGTTTTGTCTGAGCTGTACTGATGCTTCAGAATGCCCAAAATGTACTTTTTTTTCTCCCCAAAGTGCATCTGTAACCATCTGTTCAACTCTCTATCTGTAATATCATTCATTTGATGAGGAGCAGGCAGGGAAGGGGGCTATCACATTCAGTGCCCTTCAGATTCGCTCCCAGGTGGGTGTCAGGAGTTGCAGGGAAATCTCTCTCACCTTTATTATCGAGCACGTTTAGTTCTGGATGATTTTTTGGACTTGAAGCCCAGGGTGAGAGGACACCTCCTTTTCGTGAGAAACCCAACCACTCGGGAAACAAACGGAGTTTTGCTGTAGCTGCCACTTCAGGCAGATAGCGTTTGCTCCTTTTTCAGTAATGAATCTCGCTTTGTTGCTTTGTACAGTCATCCAAGGGACGCTCCAATATATAAACAATAATTTGAGGATCACTTTGTTTTCTCTTCCACGGTACTGGCTCTTTCTGGAGGTGTGGATCGGTCAGCCCTGCTTTGTCTGCTGCTGCTGCCGCCTCCAGTCCTGGGGGGAGAGGATCTTTGCTTCGTTTCAGCTGCTCTCGTACAAAGATGCACGATAGATTACGTGGTCCGACCCAATCCGTGCTGGAAGAGCCGTGATGAAGCTTCATAGGGGCACACACAGCTTAAGTACAGATGTAGAAATACAGCCAGGCATTTCTCCTGGAAGAATATAGTCTTTTTGCACTGAGGGGCGAGTGAGTGGGCTGTGAGCGCTCTGGTTTTGTAGAGTTGGTGGTAGAAGAGCAGCTTTTTGTCAAATTCTCCCATCCGTGTCTATCCATGCCCTCTCAGAGCACTGCAAATACCCACTTGCTCCCGGACTGGCAAATAAAATCTGCGTTAATTTTGTAGTAAACGGAGTCTTGCAGCATAGTCTAGCAAAGATAACTGCAGTCATCTTACTGGATAGTCGTCTTACTTTTACTGGATTCCCTCAAGCACAGCTGACCTTTTAATCCATTTTACACCTCAAAAGTTCACTTGCATTTGTGTCCTTCTGTTTGTGCTTTGGTGTGCAGCGTATGTCCTGTTAGTGGAGTGGGAATTGTAGTCTTTTCTCAGGAGCAATCTACAGAGTGTGTTTTCATTCCCATGCAAAATTGTAAGTCCCAGATTCAAAGATTTCACTATTTAAACTAGCCTGGGTGCAACACATGGTTTTGTACACAAAGGGAAGATGGCACGAAGATCACAGCACTTGCTGCTCGCAATGTTGTGAATATTTTATCCATCATTTTTGTTAATTATTGCCTGCGGGCAGTGCACAGGAGGAGCTGGCTCTGAGGATGAGTGTAGCACACTGTATCTTTGCGCTGCTTGGGCAGCCAGCTTTCACCACAGCACTTTTTGTGAGATAAGGAGTTATTTCCCCATTTTGCAGATAGGAGCAGGAAGTGGGCAAGACTCACCCACCCTTCTCAGTGCCCCGGGGGTGCAAGATTTCAGGTCAGCTTTTGCTCCGAGGGCTGTGCTAGCGCTGCTCCCGCTGTCCGGGAGCCCAGGCTGGCTGCAGGAGGAGCCCCCTTCGCTGCACCCTTCTGCTCTGCTGGTCACTCCAACAGAATCTGAGCGTTAATAAGGATAAAATTCAGATCTTTTTTTAAAAAAAAAAAAAAAGTGGATATTTGTGCATCAGATCACTGCTTGCACCGAGTTGACTAAAGCCCTTACACAAGTTACGCTGGCTAACAGGATTACTTGCTTTGACAATGCTAATTACTTAAGTATTCGTCCTCATCCCCTGCTGCATGGGGGAGATGGCCATCGTTGGGTTTTGGTTTTGCTCGGGCTCCAGTGCATGCTTCTCGTGACTCTCTGGCGCGTGGAGGATTGTTTCATGCAGCCCCCACGAAGTTTCTGAAGTGCTCGACAGCTCTGGCTGCGCCGCGGCACGAGAGTCCACTCCAGCACTGCATGACCGGCTCGGGGAATTGGGAAATCTTTTTTGGGGTGGATTAGCAGGAAGCACAGCAAGTAGAAAACTGGCAATGTGGAGTAATTCTTTGCCTAGCGTGAGGTCTTTGCTGTGTGAGTGCATCCCCGGGCTGGTGCTGGTCTCTCTGGCATCTCTGGAGCAGGTTTTTCTCCCCGCGCTCCGTGCTGGCTGCAGCTTGGCTGGCAGACAGGCACAGCAGAGGAGAAGCCGGTTCCTTATCATGCCCAGCTCCTTGTGGGAGTGGAGCCATGCAAAGCCAGAGAAGGAACTTACATAAAAGTTCTTGGCTGCTCGCATCAGCGTAGCCTCATATTTTATCTTGCATAACTCTGCTCGCTAGGGCTACCAAGAAAAGGCAAAGCACACAGTGCCAGGAGCTTTTCGTGGATCTCTTCTGAATTGTGTGACGGGCAGCACTGTTCTTGTGGTTGCTTGCCGTCTCCATTAAGCTTTCTGTCCTGGTTTCTGTGGGCTTTTTGCTTTGTTAGGGTGGCTTCAGAGTCAGTGGCCATGTTTGATGGCCTGGGATGATGGGGAATATGGCGCTGAACGGTTCCTATTTCTCTGTTCTCTCCCTTATAAATTGTTTGACCTTCAAGCGTTCCCTCGCTTCCTTTGGAGTCAGATGACAGATGCTAGGACAACTGCCCAGTTTGCAGAAGTACTTACAAATTGTTTTCCAGTCACTTAATGGCAGTGAGTCCCAAAGCCGCCCTTGCCCCTCGCTCCGAGTCCTTTGCCCACGTTTCCACCCAGTACCTTTTGGCCTCCCTTGTTCCAGCTGAACCTATTTGTGTCAGACCTGCAGCTTCCCTCTGCCGCCTTCTGCAGTGCAAACGCTGCCGTCCTTGCATGGATCCAGAGATGCGGGGTGGGGGAGAATATGTGAAATTCTGCAAAACGTCGAGTTTTTCATTGGTAACCAGAGGGGTCACCTTTTTTTTTTCCTTTTGGCTGTAGAGATGAGCCATATATGCAGTAAAAAAATCTTGTCCAACCTGTGTTGGCATAAGCAGGGGTCTTGCTTAAACCTCTTTAATTGGGGAAAGCGCTGTGTGTGCCCTGGACCGTTCAAGGCATGCAGGGCACTTAGCAAGTACCCAGCAGAGCAAAACTTGCAAAGCGACCCATGAAAGAGGGCCACCTTCTTGCGGGCACCGGCTCCCCTTTCATTATATCCGCTCTTGTTCTCCTCTGTCCTACATTTCACATTATTTGAAAATTGATGTTCAGCTGCAAAGAATCTCTTGTGCTGCCTCTCTGCTTTTTCTCTCTGCCCCCTGGGTTTCCAAGCTAAATAGCTGCTCTATTTGCATGTAAAAGAGCTCGGGTGCATTACTGTTAGTCACTGTATTATTTGACCAGCACCATCGTTTCGCCTGTTAAATTCAACATACTTTGGCATATGGGATGTCTTTACTGGGTGATGATGGGTAAGGACATCAACTTCGTTTGCATATCAGATATTTTTCTTCCCTAGCTGGATTACAGTTAAGTGCAAATCTGTCTTTCACCACATGACACGATCGCATCAGAAGCGGGAGATGTGGAAGCGATGGTACATTATCTAGTGAGTGGGTTTCGTTACACGCGGCATGTGTTGGAGGTACTGCTTACTCAGAAGCAGGCTGGCACCGGCATCATTAAAATGGCTGTGAAAGGCCCGTTTGCCTTCCAGATTTTGGGGTAGTCTGGGGGATGCCCAGCAACCAGGCGGTGTCCGTCTGCCTGCAGTCTTACGGACAGCGGTGCCTCCAAGACCTTTTGTGGAGGTGTGCCCTGTCCCTAAGGCCAGGAGGGTGAGCGGCAGCTCCCTGCGGTACCTGCACCGGGGGAAGAGGCTGGTGAGAGGCTTTTCTTGGGGCTGTGCGTGCAGCACGAGTGTGCAACGCCCCAGGGAGTGCCCCAAAGCGAAACCCATCCCAGCATCTCCTCCTCATCCATGCTGCAGGCTCGCTCCCTCGGCTGGAGGGCTTGGTCGTAATCGTTTTGGTCCTGCTGTGACCCAGGGGTGTTGAAAGGGCTGAACCCAGAGGACTGAGGAGATGCTGGTTATTCAGGATGTTTTAAGAAGGAAATGGACCCCAGGACCCGAGACGATCTCTGCGCTGCAATGCTGTGATAAGATGCAAATTGCTCTGCGGTGCGCGGGAGCCGCCGGCAGCTGGGACCGTACGTTTGGGGCTTTGACAGGATTTTACTTCCAGTTTTCCTCTTTTTCCCAAACATCCAGGCCTCCTTCCTGGAATTTATTTTAAATCAAGACACTATATAGCCTTTAAATATTACGCAGGGGTCATGTGTTCTCCATCTTGTTCTTTTTTAAATTAGCCGGGTCCAGGAGAAGGTAGATGAGGAGCTCAGATGGGTCTCACTTGTAACTATTATTTTTGTTTCATATGCTTCCTTTCTGCTAGAGGTCACCTTCTTGCAAATAATACAATCGCCTAGCATGAAAATAATAATAATGGCTTTTGATGGGGTGTTTTTCTATCTAGGTTTAAAAACCAGGGACTGTGTTGCAAATAGATGAGGCCTTAACTTGCCTTAAATGTTGGATTCCAAAAAGATTTACCAATTATTAAGCTTGGGGTTAAGCTTTTTGAAGTGGCCCGTACTGAGAGGTGTGAGGCTGTTGCCTGGTAAAGGCAGCTTCTGCTTTACGGGTATGTGCGGTTTCCTGATAAGTGAGAATTTTACCTGTTGGTCCTCCTACCTTAATTGCCAGTTCCTGGGAACTGGTGTGTTTTTTCTCCTGCTTTTGCTGCTATTTGCATGCAGTCCTGTTTTAGTGCAACATTACGATGTCAACTGTCCCCGCCGAATTAGGAGACAGCTTTGGTGCCCATGTTTTCTGCGGATGCATATGGCATTTAGTCTGCATACGGTGGCTTTTTAAAACATGCTGAGGGGTGTGTTCAGTTGCTCTAGCAGCATAGCTTTTCTTCTTTCGGTATTTGAAGAGCATAATTTCAGTGGAAGTATGTTTCTGAGTGTATGCTCGTCTTGAGGCTTGGAACGAAAGCCTCC